TCCCACAGTGAACCAAGAGAATATAGGGAGATGCATAAACAAACAAACAAACAAAAAATTGTTTTGCTTGACATAACCCTTAAAAACAAAGTACACTGTAATGTTTTGATAAATTTAGTATAGGGTCAAACTTGAAATATATCATTTGAAGACCTGTCTTAAAGGTGTGATTTAAATGACCAAGATCAGTTTTCATTTTGAGGGAAAGTACTCATTAATCTTTATTTCACTCAACCGTAATCTCCCATTCCTACTATTATGAGCTTACTTGTTATTACCAAAAAAAAAAAGGACAGGGTCTCGAGGTATGGACTGTAACACAATTTGGGTCATTTAACATATATCAGTATTAAATTTACAATTTAACTCTGGAAAAGTCAGGTCTAGTGACTGGGAAATATTTTGTAAAGTACACCTGTAATAAAATTTAGGCTGCTTCTAACAGGCATTAAAAATCAACTAATCTAGACTCGCATAAGAAACAGGCAAATTCACATGAGATTGTAAGTAGAGGAACACAGCTGCAACGCTCATTCTCTCCTAAAAAAAGCTTTCTGCTCTAGCAATGTAGCAAATGACTTCTAAGATTCCTTGAAGGTCTTATTGTTCCATTCTTTGTTTATTGGGTCCTATAATTTACAGTGGAGAACTTGAGCATAAACAAAAAATCCTAAGCAAAGTCTAATATTGTAAAGGGAAAAGTAATTTCTTCAATAGGAAAACAAAATTATTACTATGTCTCAAGATGATGTCTTTGCTTATAAGAACCACACTCTTTTATAAAGTATTATCCACTTCCATCTTCTTTTTGTATTTAAGAATAAACCTTTTCCTTTTTCATGTAAAGTCTTTGTCTAATAATAAAAGGGTAATGAGTGTACATATAATTATTGCTGACAACCTGATATGTATAGTTTATAATATCTTCAGTGGTATTCACTTTAACCATTTTATCTAACACTAAGAATTTGAATGTTAGTTCTAAATGTCATTGTGCATTACTTTATCAGATTCATTTACCATGTATGCTATCAGATTCATTATACCATGTATGCTATCATATCAAAACATAACCCACCATCAAGGAAACTATACTAAATATATCTCTGGAAGAACCAGAAAACAATGAACAAAATGAAAATAAGTATGCAGCTATCAATAATTACTTTAAATGTAAATGGACTAAATGCCCCAATCAAAAGGTATAGGGTGGTTAAATGGATTAAAAAAAAAAAAAAGACCCATCTATATGCTGCCTGAAGAGACATGCTTCAGATCTAAAGACACACACAGACTTAAAGTGAAGGGATGGAAAAAGATATTCCATTCAAATGGAAACAAAAAGAAAACTGGAGTAGTAATACTCATATCAAACAAAATAAGAGTTTAAGACAAAGACTATAACAAAACACAAATTTTTTTATGTGGTATCCACCACATAAAGAGGTAAATCCAAGAAGATACGACATTTATAAATATTCACGCACCCAACATATACAGATATGTTGGAGTGCCTAAATATATAAAGCAAATAGTAATAGACATTACTAGAAATTAACAGTAACAAAATACTAGGAGAAAACTTTAATATCCCACTTACATCAATGGATCGATCATCCAGACAGAAAATAAATAAGGAAAATTGGCTTTAAATAACACATTAGGCCAGATGGATTTAATAGATATATACAGAATACTTCATCCAACAACTGCAGAATACACATTCTTTTCAAGTACACATGGAATATTCTCCAAGATGGATCACATGTTAGGCCACAAAACAAGTCTCAAAAATTCAAGAAGGCTGAAATCATATCAAGCATTTTTTCCAACCACATGGTATGAAACTAGAAATCAATTTCAAGAAGAAAACTGGAAAAACACAAACATGTGGAGACTAAAGAATATGCTATGAAACAACCAATGAGTCAACAAAGAAAGAAAAAAATGCCTTGAGACAAATGTAAATGGAAACACAACTTTTTAAAATTTATGAGATATAGCAAAACTAGTTTTAAGAGGGAAGCTGATACTGATTCAGGCCTCAAGAAACAAGAAAATCACCAACAAACAATCTAACTTTTTACCTAAAAGAAGAAAGAAAAGCAAAGAAAAGAAAAAAAAAAAAAAGAAAGTAAAGAAAGGAAAAAGAAAAGAGAGAGAGAGAATAAAGCCTGAAGTTAGTAGAGGTAAGGGGATAATACAGATCAGAGCAGAAACAGAAACAAAAAGAGGAAAGATCAATAGAATTAAAACATGGGTTTTTTTTTTCTTTTGAAAAGATAAATTCAGTAAACCTCTAGCCAGACTCACAGGAGAAAAGAGAGTGGGCCCAAATAAATAAAATAAGAAATGAAAGAGAAGTTACAATTGACACTACATAAATACAAAGGATTATAAGAAACTACTAAAAACAATTACACACCAACAAATTGGAAAGCCTAGAAGAAATGAATAAATTCCTAGAAACAACCTTTCAAGACTGAGTCATGAAAAACACAGATAATTGAATAGATCATTATATAAGTGTTTAAACTGAATCAGTAACTTAAAAACTCCCAAAAAACAAAGTCCGGGATTAGATGGCCTCACAGGTGAATTCTACCAAACATTTAAAGAAGAGTTAGTACCTACCCTGCTCAAATTATTCCAAACTATTGAAGAAAAAGGAACATTTCCAAACTTATTTTATAGGCCAGCATTACCTTGATACAAAAACCAGTCACCAAAAAAAAAAAAAAAAAAAAATTATAGGCCAGTATTCCTGATGAATATTGTTGCAAAAATCCTCAACAAAATATTAGCAAACCAAAATGTATATTAAAGGAATTACACACCATGATCAAGTGGGATTTATTCCAGTGATGCAAGGATTGTTCAACATCTGCAAATCAGGGGTGCCTGGGTGGCTTAGTCAGTTAAACATCCAACTCTTGATCTCAGCTCAAGTCTTGATCAGAGTTTAAGCCCTGCATTGGGTTGGTCAGAGTTTAAACCCTACATTGGGCTCCACACTGGGTGTGTAGCCTATTTAAAAACAAAACAAAAGTAACAAAACATCTGCAAATCAAGCGACATGATACCCCCCATTAGCAAAATGAAAGGTAAAAATCATATGATCTTAATGCATGCAGAACAAAGTAATGAACAAAATTCAACATCCATTTAGGATTAAAAAAAACTCTCAACAAAGTGGGTATAGAAGCACACCTCAAATAATAACAGCCATATAAGGCAAGCCCACACCTGACATCATACTCAATGTTGAAAAACTGAGAACTTGTCCTCAGATCAGGAATAAGACAAGGATGCCCATCCTCACCTCTTTCAACACAGTACTGGAAGTCCTAGCCATAGCAATTAGGCAAGCAAAAGATATAAAAAGCATCCAAAATAGGAAGGAAGAAGTAAAACTATCACTATTTGCAGATGACATGATACTATCAATAGAAAACCCTGAAGACTAAAAAAAAAAAAAAAAAAAAAAAGATTCAAAACAAAAACAAAAAAGAAAACCCTAAAGACTCTATCTAAAACTCATAATAAATGAATTCAGTAAAGCTGCAGGATACAAATCAATATACAGAAATCAGCTGTATTTCTATACACTTAATAATGAAGTAGCAAAAGAGAAATTTCTTAAGAAAACAACTCCATTTACAGTTGCACAAAAAAGAATGGGTTGAAATAATTAATATTGTTAAAATGTCCACAGTACCAAAAGCAATCTACAAATTCAGTGTAATCCCCATCAAAATACCAGTGATGATTTTCCCAGAACTAGAACAAAGAATTCTAAAATGTGTATGGAACCACAAAGACCCTGAATAGCCAACCAATCTTGAGAGAGAGGAACAATGCTGGAGGTATCACAGCCTCAGATTTCATAGTTACAGTAATCAAAACAGTATGGTAGTGGCACAAAAGCAGACATCAGTGGAAGCACTGATCAATGATATAGAACAAAGAGCCCAGAAATAAACTCATAAATATATGGTAAATTAATCTATGACAAAGGAGTCACAAATATGCAATGGGGAAAAGACAGTCTCTCAATAAGTGGTGCTGGAAAAACTGGACAGCTACATGCAAAATTATGAAATTATTTTCATTACCACTACTTTACAGCATATCCAAAAATAAATTCAAAATGGATTAAAGATTTAAATGTAAGACCTGAAACCACAGAACTCCTGGAAGAAAACATAGGCAGTAAGCTGTTTGATATCAGTCTGCCTTTGGATCGGGTCATGATCCCAGGGTCCTGGGATCAAGCCCCATGTCCGGCTCCTGGCTCAGTGGGCAGCTTGCTTCTCCCTCTCCCTCTGCCTCTCCTCCTGCTCACGCTCTCTCTATCTCTGTGTCTCATATGAATAAATAAAATCTTTAAAAAAATAATAAATAAAAATAAAAATATCGAATCACTATGATGTACATTTGAAACTAATAGGATACTGTAGGTCAGTTGTACTTCAGTATAAATTCTGGGATGTTTAAGTCTATAAGTTTATGATAAACATAACTTTGAGATATTTAAATCTGATAATTTTAGCCTTTTTCTCTTATTTAAGCCTAAATTTTTTCTTCCTTTGGGACCATTAGTAAAAATTAATGTACAAGATAAATACAGATGGCATTTAGATGATAATATGAGTAGAGAGCAGTTCCTAGATGCCTTCTAATTGGATATGAAAACTATGTAGCACTATTATTCTGACAATTTCCTTATTAGTTTCTTTCTTTTCATTTGAAAAACAAAACAAAAAATTATTGAATAATTTCCACATCTCAGCTCTTTTGCTGTGTAATACCATGAATGCAGTTATTTCTAAATTGTGTAGAAAGGGGAAAGGAGGAAACTAGATAAGTTCAAGAAATGAAATGAAAGGAACTTTTTAACCACAGAGTAACACTGACCCAGAGAGATATGGATTAGAATTAGATGCTGTTGGATACCACATTTTCCAAAATAGCATAGTGCTATGAAACTCCACAAAATAATCTGATACAGAACATGGTCAGGGTAGAAAGGAATATTAATAAAAGTTTCAGTGTTCAGTTTCAATTTCTGAAAGACCTTGTTGACATGTATTTATTTAAAAAACTAAAACAGACTTTTTTTCTTCCCTTTCCCTTTTTCAGGATTGGAGACACCTTTGGATTAGATTAGACTTCAGGGAATACCACCTAAGGAGTAGGACATAAAGAAGCAAAGAAGCAGTACCCCCTGGTGGGCATCATAGTCAATGGGAAGTCACTGCAACAGGTATGCATTGAGGGGAGGGGAGTGACCTGAGCTAATTTCAATTTAATTTGTGCAGCTCAGCTGTAGAAATAGACTCTATCTCCACTACCACCACTCCTGAAAAAAACCCCAAAATTCTGATATATTAATACAAAACCACACATTGACTCTTTAAGGCAGTAGCAACTCTGAGGTTTAAGTAATGCTGACTTAAAATACATCTTGTCTCGTTAAGTTAAAAACATTCAAATTATCTATTCTGAAAGTGATACAGTGGTTAGCTTCTGGCCAGAGGCATGCACACTGCAAATATGATAGGAGAAAATACTAATGTTCAACTGTTATACATTCACAATCTCTTATTTTAATTCCCTCTGCCAATAAAATAATTTGTATATGTCATTTCTCACACTGATTTTATGCTAAAAGACTAGAAATATATGCTGATTTCTGTGTGCTAAAGGAATGGAACATTGAGATGTCAGTCACTCCTTCAGGGATCAAAAAACTCTGATTTTTGAAGTGGGTGATTTTATTTCTATTGATTGACTGGCTGATTGTATATTTCCCAAAATGTATAGTTTGAGCTAGGGAACAGTTGCTTTAAAGGGTATGAGAAACTCCTTCTATAGTGGGCAGAGCGTTATTTCAAAGGATTCTTGTGGGAATCTAAGAGATGTTATCTGTTGAATTTGAACTACTTCATTTCAGCCATTTTCCCAATTAAGACCATTTAAAGATGACTGTACCCTGCCACGGTTCTACAGAAAAATAAACACATTTTCTTCCATCTATGTACAACTGAACCCTATTAGGTGATACAATGGATGCTTTTTCTGAAATAAAAACAGTCTCAAGACTACATTTTTTTCTTTCCTACATATTTTTTTTTAGGAGAAAAATGTTACATGTTTTGACACTATATCTGCCTTTATATTTGACCTTCTGGACCATTCCTCACTTCCATTTCCTAACTATTACTTTCTGTTTAGTTGTATGCCTTTGGAGCTCTGAGCTATTTATTTTCTTCTTTTTTTTCCTCAGATAAAGCAGAGTTTAAGAATTTAGTTTTCGGGGTGCCTGAGTGGCTCAGTCGTTAAGCATCTGCCTTCGGCTCAGGTCATGATCCCAGGGTCAGTCCTGGGATCGAGCCCCACATCGGGCTCCCTGCTCCGCGGGAAGCCTGCTTCTCCCTCTCCCACTCCCCCTGCTTGTGTTCCCTCTCTCGCTGTGTCTCTCTCTGTCAAATAAATAAATACAATCTTAAAAAAAAAAAAGAATTTAGTTTTCATGAGGCTTCAATTAAAAAAAACAAAAAAACAAAAAATACCTAGCCTTCCTGTTACTCTGGTCATCCACATGACAAAAAGGAAGTTAAACTGTTTGCTGACATGTCTCTTATGGTTTGAGTCTGAGCTTCCTTCATGAGGAGTCTTGCCAAACACTCGGCTTCCACAGACAGTCTTTTGTGGGAGGTGACCTCATTGGAATCTAAGAGCAAAGGCTAAAAAAAAAAAAAGCCATAATAATTAAAAACAAACCCTACTCTGGTGAAGGATTGCTTGGTTCACATTCCTAAAGTAGCTGGAAATATACTTCCTGGATAGTTTAATAGAATAGTAGGTCTCTTCTCTTAAAAACAACTCTTCTTCCAGATATTCAAGCTCTGGCTTACAGTGCCACCATCTTCCAAGTTATTGGAATGGGTTTTGGATAATCTTTGATTTTTTCTTCTTCTCCATCATCCCTCACTCATATTCAGTTAATTATTAAGTTCTAACATTTTTCCAGAATTAATCTTCTGCTACTCTTTTACTATAGTACCACTTTGCTTTTAGACTAGCGGTGTGCCTGTAAGTTTTATGGTTAATTTCAGTCTCTCTAAACATTCTCTTCACTTGGTCTCCACTCTGTTTATCTTGTGCCTTTAACACACTGGACATGTTTTCATAATCCATGACGAGAAACCAATAAGGAAAAAGTGTCCATTGGCACATGATCTTATTCATTGCTTCGTCTAAATTCTTACCTTAATACCATATCCTTGGGCATCCCTTTTGTTGACCATTAAGGGCTAAAAACTTTGCCTTCTCTCCTGAATTTCTGATCTGTCATGTGGTGCTGTCTTTCCAGCACAAGTGGTTCCTTTCTAGGAAAGTGATCTTAAACTTGTTTTGTAGGGCGCCTGGGTGGCTCAGTTGGTTAAGCGACTGCCTTCGGCTCAGGTCATGATCCTGGAGTCCCGGATCGAGTCCCGCATCGGGCTCCCTGCTCAGCGGGGAGTCTGCTTCTCCCTCTGACCCTCCCCCCTCTCATGTGCATTCTCTCTCTCTCAAATAAATAAATAAAATCTTAAAAAAATAAAAAAACTTGTTTTGTAGATTGCATCTATCCAGGCATACCAGTACCCTGACTTAGCCCCAGGTGCCCATCCCATCAAGTGGTTGGTATATCTGTTGATTCATTTGTTATTTCTGTAAAGGGAATGGGACACTAACCTTCCTAAAATGGAATTTTGACAATTTGATTAATGTAGTTAAAAGCCATCAATGACTCCCCTTTGACTGTGATTCTGGAACCAGGTAGACCCAATATCCAGTTTTGTCACTCATGAAGTGGCAAGCTATGAACCTCTCTATGACTAAGTTTCTTTATCTGGTAACAACTGATAAATTGTTTGCAAATATTTCACTTTTGATTTTTGCCTTTGTGTTTAGAAGTAAAATTGGTCTATACTTTCTTTGTCCTGTCCTTATCCACTGTTGGTATCAACATGATCCTGTCTCATAAAATGAGTAGGATGGTTTTTCTACTTCCTTTCCTTTTTCTGTAATAATTGGCACAAAGTATTTATGTTCTATGAAGATTTAGTAAGTAAACTTCATCTTAAAAAATCATCCGATATGGGAGCTTCCTTTGTAATTATTTATTAAGTTAACATATATTTTCTTCAATTTTCTTTTTTTATATTTTACATCTTTTCATTATGTGCTTTTCTTGACTAATTTTTACAGATATACTTTATTTCTTGCTTGCTATTTTTCTTACTCTTACTTGTGGTTTTCCATTTCCACTTACAGAGTCCCCCTTGACATTTTTTTAAAAGATTTTATTTATTTATTTGCGAGACAGCGAGTGAGAGAGAGCATGAGAGGAGAGAGAGTCAGAGGGAGAAGCAGACTCCCCGCCGAGCAGGGAGCCCGATGTGGGACTTGATCCAGGGACTCCAGGATCATGACCTGAGCCGAAGGCAGTCACTTAACCAACTGAGCCACCCAGGCGCCCCACCTTGACATTTTTTTTTAAGTTTTTATTTAAATTCCAGTTAGTTAACATACTATGTAATATTAGTTTCAAGTATACAATATAGTGATTCAGCACTTCCATACCACACCCGGTGCTCATCAGGACAAGTGTACTCTTTAATCCCCATCACCCATTTCCTCCATCCCCCCATTCACTTCCCCTCTGGTAACTGTTAAGTTTGTTCTCTATAGTTGAGTCTATTTTGTTGTTTTCCTCTCTCTCTCTCTCTCTCTCTCTCTCTCTCTTTTTCCCCTGCTTTGCTCATTTGTTTTGTTTCTTAAATTCCACATATGTCTTTTTCTGATTGCTTATTTCACTTAGCATAATACTCTCTGCCCACTGATGGGTGAATGGATAAACAAAATTATGGTAGGTATATCCATATAGTGGAGTATTACTTAGCTTCAAAAAGGATGGGAATTTGGATGCATACTACAACATGGATGAACTGTGATGCATTTTTATACTAAGTAAAACAAGACAGTCACAGAAGTACAAATACTGCATAATTCCACTTATATAAATTTAGAGTAGTCAAATTTATAGGAGACAGAAAGTAGAAGGTGGTTGCCAAGGGCTGGGCATAGGGTGGGGAGTTATTATTTAATGGGTAGGGTTTTAGTTATATAAGATAAAAAGTATTCTGGAAATGGATGGTGGTGATGGTTAAATAACAGTGTGAATATACTTAATACTACTTTACACTTAAAAGTTGTAAAACGTACATTTAATGTTATATATATTTTACTGCAGTAAAAAAATTAAATAAATTAAATAATTAAAATAAATTATTTAAATTAATTAATTAATTAAGTAAATAAATATTGTATAAATATAGTATTTCTCAAACAAATCCTAATTTTGGAATGTCTAACTTCTGAAATGAAAAAAGGAATTTAGCACATAAAACTACCCTCTAAACTCCTTCCTCTTTTCAGTGCTATTCCTTTCCAGATGTTAGTTCTGAGTTTTTAAACATGGGTATTATTTTTAGCGTTAATAGTTCATAAATATATGGAAGAGCATACCAACTTTTTAATCATCACTGTTTTGTGCATCCTCACTTTCACTCTGGGATAAACGTTTCATTTTGCTTAATTTACCAAGGAATTATTTTTTTTATTGGAAAGTCTATGTATAGTAAATATTCCTGATCTCTATGATGGAGAATATTTTTATTTCAGTTTGGCAGGGCATGAAATTCTAATTTGACAATTATGTTCCCTTAGCATTTTCCCTCTGTTACCATCTGGTGTCTATATTCCTGAGAGAGTTCCATGGTCAGTTTAATTAATAAAACTTCAAAAGTACTGTGTGTATTTTCTTCTGCTTTAAAAATATTCCCTTTCTCCTGATATTGTGCAACTTTCCTATGCTACATTAAGCTGTGGATTTTAGTTTTTTGTTTTGTTTTGTATGTACATGTGTGTGTAGTATTTTATGTGCTAAATTTAAATACATGATTTTATTCAAATCAGAAATATTCTCAGTCACTTTTCAATATGGCTTTTCTAATATTCTATTGTTCTATGTTTTTAGAAATCATAGTGGCATATATGAAGCTCATTAATCTGCCCTTTATATGTCTATGTTTTAAATATTCTTTCATATTTTTAAATCTTTTTGTCTTTCTGTTATATTCTGAATCATTTTTAAAATATCTTCTGATCTATTAATTCTCTCTTCAATTGTGTTCAACTTAGATTCTATTTTAAATTTCCACGATTGCTTTTTAGTCCAATTTTTTAAAAAATTATAACTGCCTAATTACTTAAAAAAATTCTTTCACATTTTATGGATTGTATTTCTTCCTTTAGATTTTTGAGGATCTTTAACATATCTATTTTAAACATATTTTAAATTGCTTTTTAAAATTTTTATTTCACTAGGATTGTACTTCCTGTTGATTTTGCTTACTGTCTTTTTTATCATTAGATTTTCTTATTGCCTTGGAGCTTTATTTTGTGAACTCATCCTGAATTGGCATTATCTCTCATGAATCCCCCCATGGAATGGTTTTAGGTTACTTTTCTTAGCTTGTACTCCATTGTCCAAGTCTTAGTGTTTCAAGGCTTCAGGGCTGGCGTGATACTACAGAGCTCAAATATGCAGTTCTTGTTCCCATCAGTAGCTTGGGCCAAGTACTAGTTGCAGTGCAATCTGTGTTCTTGCTATGACAGGCATTCTCCTTCACAAAAAGGTACAGATCAACACCACAATTGCAGTTTTTTCCATCCTGATTTCATGGGTGCAGAATCTTGCTTGCATACCTTGTTTTATATGTTCTTCCACCAAACTGGAAGTACACCTAGTACCAATTCTTCTACAAGAATCAGATGTCCCGCCAATTTGTCCTTTCTGTAGTCCGTTTTATTTGGCTTTAGCCAAATAAATCTCTGGAATCAAACCCTTCTTACCAAATATTTACAGCTTACTTTTTTATAGCCTATTATTTTTTATAGCTGTGTGGTGATATTTGAGGACCCCAGGCTAGTTCGTCCCACTCAAACTGTAGATGAGTTCTATGGAAGAGACTTCTCAGCACCTAGCCATATCCATTCTCTCCTTCTTCCTCACCAGAAGAACCCTGAAAAATGCCCAGCTGAAAAATTATTAAACCTGTACTTTGCATAAGCATGGCTTTTGGGATATAATAAAAATAAAACCCCTTTTGTCTTCTATGGTCTTTAAATCTACTACATATAAATAAAAATTCTAACAGACCTCATGACTGTCCTGCTCAGTTTAAGTAAATGAGTAAGGTGATGGTCACTTTAAGTGATAAAAGCATCATTTTGGTAATTTAAGTGCTCAATCTTATGTAATAATCAAAACCACAAACTTAAGGTTGTGTTTCTTCCCTTCTCTTAGGAGGGATCAGCTTTAGAATGGTTGCCACGTTTCCAGAACACTTCACTTGGCATTTTCTTTCTCCCTCAGCCCCCCCTCTCCCACTGCTTCTGGTCCATCTGTCACTGGAATCTGGGAAGCAGATAAAGAACATCCTTCCTTGAGTTGCGCTTCCAGTTCTCTGGGCCCAGCAAGTGTATAAAGAATCTTGGGATTTTTCAGAAGGCTGTCTTGTCCTTCTACTTTGGGGTCTCCTCAACTTCTGGCAAAACTACTCTGGTGAAACATTTTTTGTTTGTTCGTTTGTTTAAAATTACCAGGGTGACATTACTAATTGAGTATAATATTGTCTCCAGGATTTATATACTTTTGACTTACTTCTAGGGGAGGCAAGGCCCCAGCTACTGTTCCACTGTGCCCTGCCACTGTAGGGCAAGAGCCACCACCACCACGCATCTCCAGACGTCTCATACGCATGACAAACACTAGTTCTATGAGCTCTTACAACTATAGGAACTACAGCAGTGCTCTCTGAGAATTCTCTTTGAAGCCAATCTCACTGTGCTGTTCCTTGAGGAACAGGGTGGGACTCAGCATGGCCAAGAAGTTTTCATAAATCAACTCCCTCAAAAGTCTTCCCTCAACACTTCTAATAGCCTCAATGTTGCACAAGTTGTCTAAAAATGAGTCTCTTTTAACTTGATATTCTTATTCCAAACTTCTGCTAAATTTCTTAGGAAAAGGAGATATATGCAGAGATAGTTTTGTGAGATTATGGTTAAGCTCCCTTTTCCTTTCTGGTTGTTGGTTGTGGGGTTTTTTGTTTGTTTGTTTGTTTGTTTGTTTGTTTTGAGTTGTCTAGGAAGGGGTTTTGATGGAGTACCAGCCCAGACTGCAAACTCAGGAAACAATCACAGATTTGGTTTGGGCATTCTTGAACAAGTGAAATAACAAGTGAAATAATGTATCTCTAGTATTTTATAAGTAAAATAATTTAACTTTAGGTTTTAATTTCACTATAGCCAGGTATCTTTTACTAGAAGCTGAATGGGCTTTCTAATTGATATGCATACTAAGATAGAGAGATGTTCAGAGAATCGCCAAGGTCAATGGGCTGACTCAGACCCCTTTTGATGCCCTAATCTATGGGCTGAGAGAAAAATGCTAAGGACTACATCCTTATCTCTGTTCCTTTGTCGGCTTTCTGTTGGGTTTAGCCAATGGAAGACAGAAGCTGGAGCTTGGACAGTAGAAGGAGAGAAAATTTGAGTATGTTTTGTCTGTTTCCTCCAGCTTCTCTGCCTGGGCAGTTGTTTTAGCCTTCCCCAACTACCCTTCCAGCTTGAACCTACCCCCCTCCCCCAACACACACACACAGCTCTCACGGGGAAATGGTTATCCATGATCTACCCCTTGTCCCTCCAATTTAGGCTTTTTACTGCTGCTAGTCTCTTAGAGTCTCAACATCCCTTGTCATTAATTTAATCTTGCCTATATACCATCATCAAAGTAAGTATTCTTGAAAGTTTTGTTATGTTATCCATCTGGGGTGAATTATCCTTCCTGGTGAGTCCCTGACTAACTCTACTATATAAGTATTAAATATAGTCAAGGCAGAACTTCTAATTCTAAGTCTAGTCTTCTTCCTTTCCTTATACCGCACAGTATTTCATTAAACTTGATTTTCAATGATTAAGTTTTATATATTGTGATGTTTTACCATAAAAAACAAAGAAACTTGGCAAAATACTTGCCAATATGGATATATATGTGTGCACACTAGGGTGATTTATCCTAGTGAACGATATATTATAAAAATAATATATACCATTTATCAACATATATCTTTTTATTTTCATACTTGTATTCCCTCAGCATCATAAAATGCACATGTATCCAACAGGAAAATACAATGCATTATAATTTACCTTGTTACAGAGAAATTTCTTATAATATCACTTTTAATTCCAACAAAATGGAAAAGAACAATATATGTAAAGCCTCATTTCCTATATTGAAGTCTTTTTTCAAACTAAACACATGTTTATTCCGATACTCTAACAAGAAAATAGTGTTTTTCAATGTTATCTACAAAGTAAAAAATGCAGTGTTTGCTTCGGCAGCGCATATACAAAGTAAAAAATGCAATTATTAGAAAATCTTTATTCCAAAATTAGAATTCTCTCTATATATTCAGAAAGCATGCCCCTTTAGTTCTCAACACTGTTAAATGGTAATGACACTAAAATGAAAAGATTTGCTGTAAAGTGATCTTATATGTTTTACTCTGGATCTTCAAGCAGTAAATTCAAAAGGGAATGCATTTCTCTTTGTTCAGTACCAAAATGCATGTTCTCTCCTTTTATCTTTTTCTTGCTGCCCCTGTGACATTTGCTACAAATGCATTTGTATGTTCAGTTATTTCCCCACACATAGAGAATGAAAAGGCAAGTAGACGTTCTATCAACACTATCACTATAATTTCTAGAAAATTATTTTTCTATATTGTGTTACATTTTCCAGTTTTTGCATGTACATCTCTCACAATTCTTTATTTTTCTGTACATAGTAAACAGAAGGATAATATGGATCTAGAGATTTATAGATTACATAAAATCTAGCCACTGATCATGAATGGTCATAATTTAATATTAAACTTGAAGACATAAATAATTTCCATTACCTCCTTCTTCCTCCTAGTGAAAATAAAGAAAATAAACCAAGTCTATGAAGAAAACAAAGAGCTGCCCTACATCTCAGAGGTATGGATGGACAGCAGATTAAGGCAATGGCAAACATAAACGAGGGCTTTCAGGGGATAAGAAAAGTCCCACGGGGGTTTCAAAATTAAAATGCATTGAACTACTTAGATCTGTCAACATTTCGCTAGTAAGAGGGATAGGTTCAAAAAGTTCTACCTCATTTGCTAGATCTTGCTTCTGTAAGGCAGAGATCAGCCACCTAGCAACAGCACAAAAGATTCTACTCTGACATAGTTAAACTCATGCTGGCTGAGCAGGAAGAAAAGCTATGTAGGACCAGGGCAGAGCTGGATGGCCTGCAGTTCCAGTACCACTAGGGAGCCTGCTTTGGGAAACTGTGAAATTCATTCTGAGGAATGACTTTTTGTCAGCATTCTTCAAGGCTCAGGTCTCTGAGCGCCTCCCCTGGGCTGTGCCTCTCCCCTCCCCTTCAAGAGTACGCTGGACACATGCACACAGCACACACGGCAGAGAAAGAAAAGATGTCATTTCCAATCAACTGCTTTCCCATTAAAGCTCAGCCGTGCACATGCTAGGAAAATTGATGAAAATTGTGTAGATTAAGAGGAAACATTTTCCTATGCAGCTCTTTTGAGATCAGTGAAGTAGAGAGGTTTTTCAAGTTCCTAATCCTTATAATATAGACAGCTATCTCTTGTTCTCTTTTTAAAGCAAATTCTTTGGCATTAGATACTGCCCCAGAAATAACCCACCACTTTTCTTCCAGGAGGAAAGAAATATCTACTTAACAGTCAGGTCATACCAGAGACTTTGGAAAATATCTGGATCACAAATCCCTGTCACCAGTGACCAGTAAACGAAATCTGGGCCATGTCCTTCCTTGCAGAATGCCCTCCCTGGATGAGTCAACAGGTCATTCAAGAGACACTTACATCAAATTGTCAAAGCAATGCAATTTTCAGCTGTGAAAACTTATGCCTGGCATGAAAAGTCTAAACACAATTTTAAAGTTAAGTGTACAAACACATCACAACACTTTCTTTCCGGGAAAGGGGCAGAGAAGGAAAATTAGGTATTACTGTGCTTTTCATTTTCATGACTCTTTTGGCATATGTGACTGGAGAAGGATCCAGTTTTGGGAGTGAGGCAGGGAGGGAGGTTTAGTGAGAGAGGTTATTTGGTTCATCTTCAATCACATTCCTAGTCTGTCTGGCTTGTTTGGCTCTGCACAAGGCAGAAAGTGTGTAATACTTTCTGACAACAAGGGAAAAAAAAAAACAAGGGACAGGCACATTTATCTTGGAGACACTGTTAAAAGCAGCCAGTTGGCTCTGCCTTTTACTGTAAACAATGTTATTATTTTTTCAATACTGTAACTGTTTTAAAGGCCTTTTTAAAAAATGCATTTCTAAGTTACAGAAGCAGTATTTAAAATAAAAATGGAGAAACTAAAATATGAAATTGCCCTATCTCCCAAAGCCAGTTTCCTTCTAGAGAGGTCACTTACAACTCCTAACAATTTGATGTGTACACTGCTAGACTTGTTTTTCATTTTTTATATACACTCACACTTACACATCTTCTCCCCCCATAGAATTTTAATATGCTTATCATTGTGGAATTTGCATTTTTCACCTAACAGGATACTTTTCTATGTCAGGATTTATATTTTCCATTTTAAAAACTGGTTTTATAAGATCACATTACACTATTTTGAACTTAAATTTGTTTTCAAAACAGTACTATAAGGGCACCTGGGTAGCACAGTCAGTTAAGCATCTGCTTTTGGCTCAGGATGTGAGTCAGGGGTCCTGGGATCCAGCCAGGCTTTGGGCTCCCTGCTCAGCGGGGAGTCTGCTTGTTCCTCTCCCTCTGCCCCTCCCCCCATGTGTGTGAGCTCTCTCTCCCTCTCAAATAAAATCTTTTTAAAAAAATGGTACTATAAAATACCAATTTCAGCATGTTTACCTTCGTATTTCTTGTTAATATGTCAGTAGGCTAGATTCCTAGGACAGGGGTTGCTGAGTTAAAAAGTATGAAGATTAAAATCCTGAATGGGTATTTTCATTTTGTCTTTCCTAGAAGTTTCTCTTCCTAAATGTTGTACATTTTGTTGTATAGTTTCCTAAACTATACAGATTATATTCATATAACCCATATATAAAAGTGCCAGTGTTTCTACATGCTTACAAATAGTGGATATTACTAATTTTTTTGTCACTTTTAATAAGTAAAACTGGGATTTCAAAGGTTTACTTTGCACTTAACCTATTAATGAATGTTGAAATTTTTTCAGGTATGTGTTGAGCATTTATATTCATTCTTCTGTGAATAATCTTTGTCTAGTTGTTTATTACATAATTTGTATTGCTCTGAGGGAACACTATATATAGATAATTAATATAATAATTAATCCTTGTCTATAGTATGTACTATATAGCTTTCTTGTGGCCTGTTATCGTGTTATTAAAAAAAAGACATCATATATATATATATATATATATACACATATGTGTGTGTATATACATACAAATGATGTCTTTCACCACACTGCAGTTTTACTTCTGTTTGAGAACAATCATGTGATCACATTTTCAAATTTGTTCATCTTTTGTCTTATGGCTGCTAATAAACTTATAAGTGGCTTCCATACTTCAAGATTTAAAACTGGTCTTTTATTCTATATTCTCTCTAAAAGTTTTTATAATTTCACCCTTGTCCATACCTTTATTAAATCTGGAATTAATTCATTGTGTAAAATGTCAGTAATAATTTATATTCTAAATAAATGGCTAACCCATTGTTCTAATACAATTATTACTAGTCCAATCCATCCATTCTCATCAACTTGAAATGCTGCCTATTTTATCCTAATTTCACATAGCTACATTAATCTATTGGTGGAATCTTTATGCTTTTGCAATAGCCTTTGTGTATTTCTGTCCTGGCTCCCCAGTATATATTACCAGGACTTTATAGCATACTTTAATACCAAGTACAACAAATATCAATTTTTTTTATTGTTATGTTAATCACCATATATTACATCATTAGTTTTTGATGCAGTGTTCCATGATTCATTGTTTGTTCATAACACCCAGTGCACCATGCAAAACGTGCCCTCCTCAATACCCATCACCAGGCTAACCCATCCCCCCACCCCCCTACCCTCTAGAACCCTCAGTTTGTTTTTCAGAGTCCATCATCTCTCATGGTTCGTCTCCCCCTCTGACATACTCCCCTTTTCTTCCTCTCCTGTTATCTTCTTCTTTTCCTTTTTTCTTAAAATATGTTGCGTTATTTGTTTCAGAAGTACAGATCTGTGATTCAACAGTCTTGCACAATTCACAGCGCTCACCGTAGCACATACCCTCCCCAATGTCTATCACCCAGCCATCCCATCCCTCCCACCCCCAACCACTCCAGTAACACTCAGTTTGTTTCCTGAGATTAAGAATTCCTCATATCAGTGAGGTCATGTGATACATGTCTTTCTCTGATTGACTACAAATATCAATTCTTAATTTTGCTTTTAAATATTATATTATGTTTACAGTATTATGTTTATGTTAAAATCCACTGGCCTGAAAAACCAACAAAAATCTAGAACACTGAAAATGTTCTTTGGTTGTCATTTGTACACTATTGAATATTGCTAATTCTAGAAAGTAAGTTCATGCATTTCTTTTTCCTAGCTATGTAATCAGGTCCTTGAGCATTCCTCACGTGAGCTTTGCAGTTTTCTGTATGTGGGTCTTCAACATGTACTGTTAAGTGCAGGCCTGCATATATTATAATAGGCTGTGAATATCTGCAATAATGTCTGTGTTTCTTCTTCTTCAATATGTTTAACTCTTACTTCTTTGTGCTTCTTTCTTTGGCTAAAACCTCTTGGGCAAATAGAATAATCCCAGTTGCTAACAGACCATTATTTTTCTTATTCCTGGCTTTAAGAGAAATGCTTTTAGTTTTTTGGTTTTTTTTTTTTTTAAGTAGATAGACACATTTAAATTTTTGGAAGAGAGGTACTACATCTTTGACTTTTCAAATTTCTACTGTGTCATTCAATCTACTCAACTTTAATACCTCCTCTTCTTGGGACAATTTTGGTAATTTATATTTAACCAGAAAATCATTTCTTCCATGTGTTGGATTTGAAAAACAGACACCCACATGGCCCCTCAAGCTTATAGCATAAAAGATATCTAAATGCCCTCCTCTTTAAATTGACTTTTTAAAATTTTGAAATGATTTTCATTTACAAAACATTTAAGTTTTTTATGAATATTTGTTAGTCCTTAGTGCTTGAGTACTGTGTTTGAAAAAATAACAGAGGCCATGATCTTAAATTTTGATGGTTTGTTCTGTATTCCACCTCATAAAGAACTATTGTTGGTTGCTATGGAGATGATTTTGATGATGTTAAGAAATTGGCGAACAGATTACTAATGCTTTCCATTTAGATACAACATTTAAAAAAATGCTCTTAAGTAAATAAAACACATATGAATTATACGTTTCAGCAACACAGAAGCCCTTTTCAGTTCACAGTTCCATGGTGGCAGAGGATGTTAGTTTCTTAGTGAATATCCATTTTCCTCTTCCCCCTTAGAAAAAGGTTAAAGTCATTTATTCGAAGTCATGGCATTAGTAAGTGGTGGATGGAGTTCATACCTAAACTCAGGTTTACCTGTTTTTAGATTCATATCCCAGTCTTCTTTTGTACATTGTACACAGGCTATGACTCACATGAATGTGGGTTCAGGGAGAGTTCTAGAGAGGAGGTTCTACACAGGTTGGGACATAAAAGATGAATCTAGAGTTTTGTTTTTTTTTTCAATTAGTCCAGGTGGGAAGGTATAAAATGGGCAAAAAGGAATGGGCAAAAAACATGAATGCCCACAGGAATAAAAGCGCATAGTGTGTTTTAAAAAAGCAGCAAATAGCCAAGTGCAAATAAAGCTTAGTCTAGATTTTCTGTAGGCATTCAATTCATATCTCTACTCATAGAATCTTGCAATCATAGAATCATGAACCACCTAGTCAAATCTCCAAAGAGGAAACATGCCACAGTGGTTGATAACCTAGGAGTATAAACCTTGGCCAAAAGAATCTGAATTCTACCATTTTCTTTCTTTTTTTTAAGATTTTATTTATTTATTTGAGAGAGAGAGAGAGCACAAGCAGGTGGAGTGGCAGAGGGAGAGGGAGATGCAGACTCCCCACCAAGCAGGGAGCCCAACACAGGGCTCCATCTGGGATCGTGACCTGAGCTGAAGGCAGATGCTTAACCAACTGAGCCATCTAGGCACCCTGAAATCCACCATTTTCTTGCTTTTTGTGTCTGGGAAAATTACTTAAGTTCATTCCACTAAATCTCATTTCATTAACTGCTAAATTAGTATATGATCATCTGCCTTATAGGTTTATGTGAAGGCCAAAGACATGTCAAACACTTAAGAGGTTCTGACATGTTATTATCAACAATAACATCCAGATTTTTTTCTTAAGATTTTTATTTACTCATTTGAGGGAGAGAGAGAGAGAGTACAAGCATGAGCAGGGGGGGAGAGGCAGAGGTAGAAGCAGACTCCCTGCTGAGCCGGGAGTCTGAGGTGGACCTCCCTCCCAGGACCTGGAGATCACGACCTAAGCCCAAGGCAGACATTTAACCATCTGAGACACCCAGGCACCCCTACTCTCCAGATTTGTAACATTTGAGTCAAATGAAAGAACTACAGGATAGTTCCAGTAACTATTCTATATTTCTTCATTTTCCTTTATGCTGCCCCCCACAACACCTTTCTACACCTGGCTAAAGGGACACTCTTTAACTGTTCCATATTCCAGGTATACCCCACTGTGTGGATATGCCATAGTTTATTCAACCACTCTCCTATATGTAGATATTTAGGTTGTTTCCAATATTTTGAAATTATAAGAATGCTACAGTGAGTAACTCTGTTACTCTTTATTCTTATAGTGTTGGAGTTGTACCACCAGTATAAATTCTAGAAGTGGAACTGCTAGGTAAAAAGTATATGGATATATGGTTTTTTTTAGATATTGCCAAAATCACCTCCATAGAAATTATACCAATTTCCATTTCCGCTAGCAAAATGCTTGTTTCTTCACATCCTTACTGATAGAATATGTTGCTCATCAGAGAGGTGAGAAAAAGCATGTTAGTATCATTTAAATTTGCCTTTCTGAATTTTTTTGATATGTTTGATCATCATTTTATATATTTGAAAAAATAATATTATCAGTTTTTTTAATATGATGTTTGGTCTTTTCCCATATCTTGAAATAGTTCTTTAACTATAAGGGATATTTCCTTTTTCTGAGATTTATGAGATAAGCATTTCCTTTCAGGTTGCCATT